TAAGTTTTATTATCAAGAAATGTTAGAGCTTTTTAGTTTTCTTAGTACTAAAGTTATAACTAAACGTCTCAATTATAGAATTTACGTTATCTCCTTACATGCCTATTTTTTTATATTGAAAAAGAAAACAAAGTGGAAATTGAAGCTTTGCAAGTTTGTCATTGTACATACGTATATTATAGTTTCCCAATGTGAGGTTGTAAGCCTTTACACATCATCATATTCGAATACTTAATAAATTGTAGATAATTGATTTTCTACGCATATTTCCTGTTTGAGCTTTACAAAAAAAGCTTGTTAAAAAAAGAAATAAATTATGACATATGTTATTATATAACAATCCTTCTACTAAAGAGGTTTACTTATTTATTTTTTACAATTTACAAGTAAGTATAATAATATAAATTTTCTTGAAATATAACTTAACTTAAAAATAATTTGTTACATTTACACAAAAGGTTCAATACAAAACATAAGACATACTTGTAATAAATAATAATAATTATTATTCATTCATATACTTGTTACAAAGTTACATAATATAAACAAGATGCGCAAATGTACATAATTTAAAAAAAAACCTTAAATCATAAATTAACTCTATTAAAATTAGTTAAATGATGAAGAAATTTAGATCCGATATTTAATTTGGTACCTGCCTGAACTATATTAAAAACCTGTGTTTCAGGATACGTTTACATAATAATCATTTATAATAATCCTGTTTATATTTCTTTTATTGCGTACACGGGAACGGGACCTTTGCGATGTCTTTCAAAGAAATAAATCGCTCCTCATTCCTATATCCCGATTTGGTGAAACGACTTCTGAACCTTTGCGTACTGATTTATTTAACACCGTACATGGAACTATCGACCGTAAGAATGTGAGCTACCGTTGTCGGACCTATCTATTTTGCTGCTTAGCAAGCTACCCATTCTATTCCTTTTCTGTAGGCAGGTGCTAATTATTTAGTATCTTTTTATCTTTACCCTTCCTGCCTTCTATAAAAACCGTTATTCGCATGAGAATTATTAATGTAAAATAAATTTTAGTTACTGGAGTAAATTACTAAAGTATTTTAAGGGACAATAAAAAATGTTGTTAGAAAATTCAGTATTACACTACAACTTCTGTTTAAGATGTGAAATGTTAAGCAGTTTTCTTCATGACTTAATTTTTTAATATTATTTATTTTATATTACTTAAATTACAGATGTAGGTACTAATTCATCTATATATATGTATATATTTATATTTATATGTATATATTTATATATTTATTTATTTATATATCAGTGTATACGTAGATATCATAAGGTTACTGTTCCACTTTTACCTAAAAATAATAAAAGACATGACCGTTGTCCGCTTCCACGAACAAGAAGTGTCTTCGCCCAAAGGCACTATGATACTATTGCTCCATTTATCTATAATAAATTCAATGACCTTTATACTGTGAAAAATCTAAGCAACTATAGAATAAAAGAAATTTTAAAAGAATGGCTAATTAATCTAACGTATGAACAAACTGAAAACCTTGTGCTAGTATAAAAAAAAATGAATAAATAAAATAAATGCTAATATATACAAATTGTAATAGTAACATAACACACACAAGTATACAACCAAACCCACTCACACAAACGCACACACACACACACACACACACACACACACACGCACACACACACACACACACACACACACACACACACACACATACACGCACACACACACACACACTCATATACACACTTTTTTTTTCTCTCTGTGTCTTGTAAGTTAGAAGTAATTTATTTAATTTTTAATATTTTTTTTTTCTTTTTTTCCTTTTTTGTTTACATTAACTTACCTTATTATAACGTAATTTCATGCAATGAAGATGTACGCCTGATATGGGAAGGTACTAGCTCCTGAAACACAGTTTTCTAGTTCAGGAGTTAGGACTGTGTGTATTTGTTACCATTGTGTTGTTTAATAAAGAATGTTTTTTTTTTTTTTTTAGTTTGTACAACATTTTGTTGAGCCAATAATGCGTATTAAATGGGTACATATGTCAGGTAGTTACTGTAGAAGAGCTACTTGTTATTTGCAATTTAATAAGTTTATAATGTAACATATATTCCATTTAACTCTAATTTATTAACTTATGTTTTCCCTTTAATCACATATGTTTTTAGTCTTATATAAATTACATATTTAAAATTTAATAGATAGCTTATTGAATAAATGCTTATTAAGATACTGCATTCATTTAATTTGTAAATTATTAACCTAAAAACAAAATTATTAACGATAACAGGTTTAACAACGACAGGTGAGCAATTAATTATGTGTAACGCATACCACTTTGCTTTAGTTTTTTACTTCTGTTTTAGTTTTTCACAAATTTCTAAAATAATAACAAAATTCTATATTATAAGTAAATTTACTTATTAACACATACTAAATGTGCCAGACAAACCGCGGAAGATGTTAAAAAGCGAAGGTGTTGAATACATGAAGACCCATTGTTTAAGCTAAAGTCAAACTACCACGGCCATCGGTACTTCAAAGAGAACGCGTTTGAGCCATGTTTAAACACTAAATAGCGCCAATGCAGCGCGCTGGCCCTGATCCGTTTCCTGCACGATTTACTACAGGGCAAGTGAAATGTTCTAACTTAAAACATAGTCATAGGCAAAAACGTTATTTACTATAATAAAATATTAGTTTTGTAAGCTTATAGAATATGTACCTTAAAAACATAAGAAAAAAAAGAACAACTGTTACAAAATATTGGAAACAATTTTAATCTTTGCTAATGTATGTACTCAAATATTTGTGTTTTGTTTGTTTGAAAGTGCTAATCCTTAGACCTGGTCGCGACCAGTCCGATATGAAAATGTATTGCCTATTTATTGAGGAAGGATATAACGCCCACGTAATTATAAGGCAATAGCAATTATGTGTATGTTCGTATATTACATACATGAATTATTAATAAATACGTTACAAAATATTTGTATTCATTGAGAACGTCAAAAAGTAGGTTACGAATAAAGATATTTCTATTAATGGTTAGTAGGCTAACATAAAATTTAAATGTAATTGAAAACGTTTTAATAACGGTAAAGGTGAGCAAAAACTTCGTTTGCTCTTCAACACCATAACACAGTTCAGTGCGTTGGAAATAAATATTTGAATGTGTGAAATTTTGAAATCATTCTCACAGCACCATTACATTCGCTAATAGATACGTTGATTGGCCAATGCTGAATTCTTCTTAATATGTAACTACAGCTAGCCTTTAAAATATTTCTTTTTCTATTGGCTTAACATACGACGAAGAATGTACGTATAAATGAGAAAATTTTTGTACAAAATAATTGTATATTTTTTAACAATTTATCTGCGCCTTAGAGGACTATCTTTTTTATCCTCGTTAATTATGGCAAATGTCGAGTAGTTAAACGGCATGCAATAGTAGCAACATGCACAATTTTTTTCGTGTTGTGTAAAACACCTGCTTGCATGTGTCGGTTGAAATATAACAGGTGGAAAGTGTATAGAACACTTATAACTGTAAATAGCTAGTGCACTATTAAATTTGAAGACTATGATTATGAAAGTATTATTATTCGCTACTAAATACAAAAAAATATTTACTAGGATAATAAATTAATATAACTCTTAAAATAAAAGTTTAAAAAACACCCAACGTAATACCCTATTCGTTGAGGCCATTTCAATGAGACTAAACACGATATATCGCCAGTATTTTAGTAGTAAAGAGTTCGCAGCGTCACCTGGAATCTGCAAGAGTATCTTGCACTGCAGCATGACGCTTGCACTGCAGCATGAGGATTAGGTTACCATATCATTACAATGTCATTAAAGTAACGGGATAACAAGTTTGAATGGATTAGATCCGTGAAAATTGATCATATCCATTTAGCGTCTAGAAAAGAGCTGGATAGCCTGCAAACGATTGAATGGATTTTCTTGATAAAGATTGAGCTAAGAACAATCCCGATGAAGTTACCTTTCAAACAAAAAAAAACTGAATTGAAATAGATTCATTCGTTTCGGTCCCTACGATGGCACTGACCGAAACACAGATACACAGGTTAAACTTACAACTCCTCTCTTTTTGATAGATAGATTTAAATAGGTATACGTATATAGCCAATTTCACTGATATACGTCAGATTTAATATTATTCCTTACCCGCCGCGAGTGTAATACGAAATAAGGGCACGTCACACGATACCGCGCCGCACCGCTAAGAAAGCAATGTAGCGTAAAACTTTTTACGTCATTATATGGAATTTATAACATAAACTCTTAAGGTAATGCGAATAGAGCTCAGAAATATTAATTATGAGTTCGCATATGATTTTCACACCACTAACTTTATCGGCGAAGCACCTGGTCATTGACGCTTAAAATTCTTGTCATTATGTCCCCCAATTTTAATATGTTAATTATATATACATAATATATACATTATTTATAATTATATGTAGTCAAATATTAAATTATCATAATTTGTTAATAAACTTAGTAATTCACTTTACAGTTATATTAGAGACTTAGTACTTATAATGTAAATTAAGTTACAATTAGAATTTAGATACAAGATTGACTACAGAACGAAGCTTATCAATTACCCCAGTTTACACCCTATAGATGCCACGCCCACCCATTGTTTCTACCTTAAAATTTATAAGATGGTAGGTGTTAACGAGCATCGGATATTATTATATTTCGTCGCTTCATTCTTCAGATATTATTTTTACCCTGTAGTCCCCTTTCCTTGCGCTAGCAACTACGCACGTCTTTAGATAAGTTTTTTAAGTACCTACATTTTTTTTTTTTTTTTTTTGTGTTTACCCACGTTTTAACTATTTCAACTTCGGTTTTTGATCGTGTAGTTTAGCCATTTCCTTTTTCGTGCGCAGCAACGAACGGACGTCTTCAATATACTTCGTATACGTGTAGTATAAAGTGTTACTATGCCAAAACGTAAAACTAAAGATAAGATTGAATATTATAAAAGCAAATTACGAAAGTTGGAAAACAAAAGCCGTCGTCGGATAAGATGCCTATCGCCTTCATCGGATTCGGAACAAGAAACAAGAGATACAAGTAAGTACAAGTTTCATCTATAAATTGGTGCTTAAGTCCTTATAAATGGTACTAATAGTATTTAAATAGTAATAATTATATAAACTATGATAAAAACGCCTGGAGAATGTCCGAGATGGCATTACAAAGGCTAATTAAGTTAATAATGCCTAAAGGTTACCCGAGATGGTAACATGACGGTTAGTTTATACCGGGAGGTTATCCGTGATGGTAGCACGAAGGTTAATTTGTACTGGGAGGTTATCCGAGATGATAACACAATAGTTTTTAAAATAAGACAGTTATAATTTCTATAAATTAGAATCGCAGATAATGCTGTTCTTATATTTATAAAGTAAAAGTTAAGACTACCCACATGACAGAGAAAAATATTTCCAGATTCAATTGGAATTGGGGATCCCGTAACTATGAGCTCGGTTATTGACGCCGAGCCTGGGACATCAATGGAAGCACCAAATGAAGGGGTTACTGGTCCTGAAGTCTGTATGAATTCACCGGGCGATAACAATGTGGCGAATTCTTCAACTGTTCCCGTTTTGGATCCAAGTATTTTGGCAGCATTAGGGGAAATCACGGACGAAACCCCAGAGTTTGGTGAGAAAATTCACGAAAGCCTCGTAAAAATATGGTCACCTTTGTTAAAACAAGGTATGTCGAAAGATAACAGGGAGGTACTCTTGAAAAACTATTTAATCCCAGAGAATTGTACTTGGCTTCAAGCGCCAATACTTAATCCGGAGATTTCTGCAGCTATACCCGAATCAGGTAGAGCTCGGGATAAGAAAATGGCCGCTACCCAACGACAATTGGGCGTGGGTATTACTGCAATTAACCGAGGTTTGCATTTGCTTATTAACAATGGAAGCAAAATTGAGGCTATAAAATTTATAAGTGACGGATGTAGAATTTTATCTGATTTACATCATCAAAATACTGAGACAAGAATCAAATTTATACTCCCTGGCCTCGATAAATCTTTTTTACAATTTTTAGAACGCACCGAACGCGACAATACGCTGTTCGGTAGCGATCTCTCAGAAAAAATAAAAGCCTCTAAGACTATTGTCAAACAAGGTGAGCTGATTAAGAAAGCTTTGCCTCCGCCAAAGCCTTCCACTTCCAATAATTCTAGAGCGCAACCAAACGCTAACCGGTCCAGCTACCAGGGAAACTGGCAGGGACCTTCTCGTTCCCAGCCGAACAGAGGAGGGGGGCGAGGAGGTCACAAGCGGACCAGCTACCGCATTCCAACTTCTACCAGCCAGTCGAAGACCAGTCACACTTACAAGCCGCGTGTCTCAACGCGACGTCAGTGACCCAGGTACATGCAGGTAGAATTCAATTTTATTATAATTGCTGGACAAAAATAACGAACAATAGGACAGTTCTTAGGTGGATTAACCAAGGTATAGATATTCCTTTTATCAAAGATGTAATCCAATATAATTTCGCCAAGACGAGTTGGTCTAACAAAGAAAGACGTGATATGACAATCGCCATTAACAGACTCTTAGGTCTGGGTGCCATTAGCACCTGTAAACCGGTGAAAGATCAATTTATGTCTCGAATATTCTTAGCACCTAAGGCAAATGGTGAAAAAAGATTTATTTTAAATCTTAAATTATTAAATAAGTTTATAGAAAAAATTCATTTTAAAATGGAAGATCATAGGACAGCGTCGAAGCTTATACCCAAACATGGTTTTTTGGCCTCTATAGATCTAAAAGAAGCTTACTTATTAGTTCCCGTCATGAAATCTTTTCGTAAATACCTGCGTTTTGAATTTGAAAATGATAAATCCGATATTATAACGTACGAATTTAATGCAATGCCTTATGGTCTTTCCATTGCCCCTAGGGTATTTACCAAAATTATGAAGGAAGTTATGACCTATCTTAGACTTCAAGGTTACAAATCAATCATATACCTTGATGACATGTTATGCATAGGAAAAACCTATACCGAGTGCCTTAGTAACGTCAAGGAGACTTTAAGAATATTAACTTGCCTTGGTTTTGTAATAAATTATAAGAAGAGTTCATTAATACCTGAACAAAGTTGTAAATATTTAGGATTCATTTATAATACCACTAATCTTTCTATATCGTTACCTATTGAGAAACGTCACACTATAGCACAGCTTGTTAAAAAATTCTTAAGTTTACCCCCTTGTACAATTAGGGAATTAGCTAATTTGATTGGTGTACTTACCGCAGCATGTCCCGCCGTTAAGTACGGTTGGTTATATACAAAAACACTAGAGCGTCAAAAATACCTTTTGTTGAAAAAATTTCAAAATTATGACTGCAAAATAAATCTAGAAAAATGCATAATTAATGACTTACAATGGTGGTTACTAAATATATTTAAAACTTCTAACTTCACTAAAATTCCAGATTTTAAATTAGAGATATTTTCGGACGCATCACAAACAGGATGGGGAGCTTATTGTAACGGCAAACGAGCTCATGGATCTTGGAAAGAGACCGAAAGTCATTGTCATATTAATTACCTCGAATTATTAGCTATTTTTCTAGCATTAAAAACCTTCGCTAAAGAATTATCAGACTGTGCTATATTGTTACGAGTTGATAATAATACAGCTTTAAGTTATATTAATAGAATGGGAGGAATACAATATCCTCATTTAAACGACCTTACTTTTAAAATTTGGCAGTGGTGTGAGAAGCGAAATATATGGATATTTGCGTCATATATTAATACTAAAGAAAATATTGAAGCGGATGCAGAATCAGAAAAATTAACCCTGATATAGAATGGAGTTTATCAGACAAAGCTTTTGAAACTATTTTGTGTAAATTGGGTCAACCTGAGATTGACTTATTCGCTTCTCGCATTAACGCTAAATGCGAAATATATGCAGCCTGGTTTCCCGATCCAGATGCATCTTTTGTCGATGCATTTACCATTAACTGGAAACATAAATTTTTTTATGCTTTCCCTCCATTTTCGTTAATACCAAAATGTCTTAATAAAATAATAAACGATGAAGCGTGTGGTATATTTGTGTTTCCATGGTGGTCGTCACAACCATGGTTTCCCATATTGAGAGAATTAATCTGTTCTGAAATAATATATTTTGAACCCAGTAAATTTTTACTTCAATCCAATTTCAGGAACTATCACCATCCTCTACACAGCCATCTTATGCTGGCTGCGGCGATACTCTCCGAGAAGCCTTCCTTCGGCGTAACATCCCAGTCCAAGCTATAGATCTCATGTTGGCGTCACTTTCTGATAATACCAAGAAACAATACAGTGTATCATATAAACTCTGGTGGCAGTTTTGTAAAACAAATAACATGAATATTTTTGACAGTACGGTAGCAAAGATAATATCATTTTTAACTGAAGAATTCAATAAAGGTGCCTCGTACGGTTCACTAAATTCTCATAGATCTGCGCTCTCTTTACTTCTGGGCAATAATATTGGGTCCGATGAATGCATTAAGCGATTGCTAAAAGGAGCCTACAAACTCAAGCCAAGTAGACCAAAATACACTCACACTTGGGACCCACAGATAGTACTCAATCATATCTCTAATTGGTACCCAAATAGAGATCTTGAGTTGAGTCAATTAACAAAGAAAGTAGTTATACTACTTGCTTTGTGTACGGCACAGCGAGTTCAAACTCTATCGTTAATAAAGATAAGTAACATATATACCTCAGATGCTGGAGTGAAAATTTTAATAACTGACGTTATTAAAACTTCAGCCCCAGGAAGAGAACAACCCATACTTTATTTGCCTTTTTTCATTGAGAATAAAAATATTTGTCCAGCTACCGTACTTACAGATTATATCCATGTTACTAAGAAATTGAGAGACAAAAACAAAAATAATTTAATACTGACAATTAAAAAGCCTCACAGGACGGCTACAGCTCAAACGATAAGTCGATGGATTAAATTGGTTTTATCAGAAAGTGGTGTTAATACCTCAATATTCAGTGCACACAGTACACGACACGCTTCAACTTCTTCTGCAAATTCCGCTGGGGTATGTATTGATACCATACGGAAAGCTGCGGGATGGACGAGTCGTTCTCAAACTTTTGCTAAATTTTACAAACTTAATGTGATTAATGAAGCAGAATTTGCAGAATCAATATGCAAAAATATTTGATTTAAATTAGTTATTATAGTATAGTCTATCAATACTTTATTTTTGCTTAAGATTAAACGTTCATTTTGTAAAAATCCTTGTTATTTTAATTGAAACGTAACATTGCAAATCTCATATAAACTCTTAAAATCTACAGGGTAAAAATAATATCTGAAGAATGAAGCGACGAAATATAATATATGATCAAACGAACTTCCAAGTGAAGTTCGATCATTATTATATGAGTCGCTTCATTCGAAGATATTTTGTTCCCTACCCACCCAAAAAGCCCTCAAGAGATTTGCAAAAAATCGAGTTCTCTAAAATAATGACTAAACTACACGATCAAAAACCGAAGTTGAAATAGTTAAAACGTGGGTAAACACAAAAAAAAAAAAAAAAATGTAGGTACTTAAAAAACTTATCTAAAGACGTGCGTAGTTGCTAGCGCAAGGAAAGGGGACTACAGGGTAAAAATAATATCTTCGAATGAAGCGACTCATATAATAATGATCGAACTTCACTTGGAAGTTCGTTTGATCATATATTATCGGTACTTCCGCCACAGTTTGCTGTTTATAATTCTTTAATTCAATATAATCTTATTTCGCAATAAATATTATAACTTATTTCTATATATTTAACTTTGCTTTCTTCCTGTATTAAAACAATGTATGCCGGTCGCGGTCTTGAATGCAGCACTTTGTTATTAACACTTCTACTCTACACAAATATTTATAAGAATGTATATAAGTATTCTTAACACAAATTTCGTGTTGCAATTGAAAACGATAGCAGTCAGTTCTAAGGAGACATTGGAATAGGTCGTCTTTTATTTTACCCTTTTACATTTAACTTAATTCCATATGCATAAACATCCTTACTTATTTACTAGAGTTTAAGTTATTACTACTACAGTTAGCAGTTACTCAAATGTGTACAAGTCATCAATTCAATGTTAAAAATTAAAATTTATATTGATATTATAATATGAACTGTAGGTAAATTATACGATTGAGTACTTCTTCTTACTGATTATCTGTAATGTTTTTTAACGTTCGCATCATTTGAATTTGCCTAATGTTTGCCGTAGTCATTAGGGAGATGGGGCCTCTTCCTGGGGCGTAATTATAATTTATTACGTTATTTTGTAGAAAATAAATTTTATGTTAGCATAAATAATAATTAATTATTATTGTTTTACTATCCAAATAAATATAAGATTTTCTGCATTTTGAAGGAAAGTTTTACCTAGTATTAGTATCTATAAAAATAATAATTATATTCATAATCCTTAGTCTTAGTTAGTTCCAGAGCGCTATAAATATTAATTAAATAATTTATATTATATAATAACGTACCTAATTATATCTTTTAAAAGGAATTTAACTCTTATTATTTTTATATGAGTTGAAGTATCTGTGGGAACCGCAAATTTTATTTTATGGAAGCTATTCTAAAACCCGCTCCTTTGTTTCACAAATTTTATTGCCATTCGTAAAGCTGTCGGCTTAATGTGATGCGGGTTTACACTGTCATAAGTCTACAGTACAAATAAGACCTCTTCAAGTCTTCACTTTGCACTTATTTTATGTACAACGTACCTGAATAATGTCTGAGATGTTAGTAGGTATAGATACTTAAGATTTTTATGCCTTACTTGCAAAAGTCCTGCTAGTCCAATGGAACCTATTACTTTTTCTTCTACTAAGCTATATTTTACCTAGAGATGTGATGCATTAGAACCTGTGAGTATGTTTCCTGTATATCCCTTAAAGGCAACAATATGACTCTTTACGGATAATTAATACTGTTCTACTTTTTATCACACGTCGCGATATAAACGAGAAGAAACTGTTCGTTATGACCTAAACTTGACTTGACACTGGCCACTGCACACAGTTTTTATTTTTTGTTAGTTATAGTTGAATCTGTATTACCAAACATTTTCACAATTATAATATAAATAAGAATATCGCTATGCCCTTAAAATATAAGTACCTAATAAGAGCAATTTTTATCTAATTAATTGTTTGGGCCTAATTTCTTGCCTTTTAAATTTAATCAATACAGCAATTAATCTAAAATAAGTAGTTTCATGCTATTTATTATAAGTATGTTTTTGTTATATTCATTATTCATAGAGCACAAATGAATGAGGAATGAATTATCGGATGAATCTTACAAGAACCAATAATGTATAGAGGTCAAACTTAGCGTGTTGTAATTAAAACGTAAAATATAACTCTAAACACGGCAAGGCATAAAGCGGAAACTGCCACCGCAGATGGAAATCCTAATCGGTACGTGTAGTTAAGATAATAATCTTTACGAGTATTAATCTCCTTTGATTGGGAAAGTTAACAAGTAAATATCTACTTTCAGCCACATTACTGTGTTGTTGGAGCATAAAATATAAGTTGTCAAGAACATCCGCACGTTCTCACATCGACCCCACAGGAATTATGCTTGCTGTGTTATAACATTTATTATAAGCACAACGTGTACTTATTTACATTCCGTCATGTGAGTAAGTAATGTAACTTTAAAAATAACCAATCAGGTTACATTTAGAGTAACTTACAAAATACCTCTTTTGTACAATGTATTATACATCATCATCATCATATTCAGCCTTTTTTTTTTTTAACGTTGGGAAATGCATTTACGCACGAAGTGTGGGACTCACCGACGAAGCCAGTACTACCCACTAAAACCTTCCCCCGTCTTAATGGGGCGTCGCAGGATCGCTTGCGCATTCAACTACGACGCCCCGACGGCAGGTCTGCCGAAGCAGACCACAACAACCATGGGGTTGCTCCACGGTCCACTCTGCTATCAGAGAAGTACCAGGAGCAACCCGCATGGTATACCACCCTCCGAAGAAGGCCGCCTCCCACCGCCCACCGAAGCGGGCCACCTTCCTGTGCGTTTCTTGGCTTCGTGAGTACACTACTGAGCCCCCCCACCACGACAAGGTGAACGCACGTTGGGGGGGATCATCATATTCAGCCTGCTTTCGTCCACTGCTGGACATAGGCCTCTAATATGGCACGCCACTGAGCTCGATCTTCAGCTCTACGCATCCAAAATATGTATACATATTAAAGTAGGTACTTAGACGATCGAGCTTCGCTGGCGTTTTGCGGAATAGATATAAAAATTCAGTTTAAAAAAAAAAAAAACACCTGTATAGATAAACTTAAAAAGCAAAAGTTTTCTAACAAAATTTGATACAAATCGTTAGAACCGTTAAACGCAAAGATACACGAAATAAATGTACTCCTATATATACCTATAAAAGAATTAATCATTTAATATTAAAGGATTAAATAGTACTGAGTAGTAAATACCCAAAATTTTAAGGTTAATATTTATACTTCCTAAAACCTAAAGCACTTGTTATTAAACGAAGAGGAAAGGAAGAATATTATACGCAGTTCTCCAGTAAACTAGGACACGTAACTGTGTTAACTTCATATCATGCTTTGTTCTTAAATTTTCACAGCAGCTGAATCGCAGCCAGAAAAAAATAATACTTTATGTTTAGAATGAATAAAGTAATAAGGCTTTGAACGAAAAGACTTTTATCTTCATATCAAAATTTACTTTCGCATCGCACCTGTTGTGTGTTGTTGTCGCATGTTGTTTGCCATTATAGTTAATCGTAGCAAACTTTAAAGTTTTTGTTTAAAGAGATTTCCAAGTCGTCCAAAAAAAGGCACAGCAGTTACATCCTTTTCTGGAAGCCATTCAGAACATTTTCGACCATCCCGTAATTTCGTTGTGGATAAAGCTAAGAGGTCTGAATTTTCAGTGACTAAGTTGACGTAATATAACTTAGTATATTCCCAAATTACATTGAATTTGAACCTGCAGTTTAAGAACTATTGCAGGTCAAATTTCTTTAATTTCGTAATTCATTCACCGATTATCAAAATTCTAAGGAACTGTTAGCAGCTTTTAACATCGGACGGAAACATAATCACGGGAATAATTTTTAAATAGTTTAATATTTTATCAACCGACTTCAAAAAGGAGAAGGTCCTCAATTCGACTGTATTTTTTTTATATTTGTTACCTCAGAACTCCGTCATTTATTAACCGATTTGGGCAATTTTTGTGTTGTTTGAAAGTGTATACTTCCACATTGGTCCCATTTAAAGGGAAAAAAAACCACCCCTAAGGGTGGAAAAATAGCTAATGATGAATTTAACCTACATCTAATTGTCATATTGACTTGAAACTTTGCAAGTGTTT